ATACGAATGGCAAAGATAGCAAATTTTGACAGGAAAGTGACACCTGCAGCATTTCCTAGAAGTGCCGTCCTTATTTCAGAATGTAAAATGATACAATCATCATCTTTTGCTGCTTGAAGCAAGTGCAGGTTAGAAGGCATTTTCAGAGATATACGATTTCCTCCTTCCCCTCCAAATTATGCCCTGGAATGTCATTCTTTTCTATCCCTGCTTAGTGCAAAGCCGAGTGGTGAAGCCAGCACTGTTTCATGCAGCTAAAAGGGTCCCTTAACAGCATCCCGTAGTCTATGCAAACAGAGACTTCCATCATGGGAAAAATAAGGCAGTGCGCAGTATTTGGGTCAAACCCTGACTTGATTTATTTGTCCTATTTATGCCCAATTTTCACACAATTAACACAGGGTGCTGTGCATGGTGTTCTCTCTCTCTCTTATTCTTTCCATCAATACCTTCAGGTACTTTATATCATAAAATGCCCCGGGTGTCCAACCAACAATGTGCATCTGAAAACATCATAATGAAAACTATAAACAAAAGTACTTAGGCCATGATCCTCCCCCCAGCTCTATTAAAAAGTGTTATCTAAGGAATGAGCATTTCCACAGTATTCAGTCCTGTATCCCACATGTCTTTTGGAAGCCCAATATGACCATTACTACTACAGTCATTACTGCAAGAACGCTTGTAGTTCCTCTTTCATTTTCTAGCTGTTGCTTTAGAAATAGAGCAGAAAACCTGCAGGATAGTGTAAAGCTTATTTACTTAGAAGAAAGTCCTAGTCACATTCCTATGTGCATTGGATGACAGCATAAGGGCCTGATCCCACCAAAATGAAGCGAGATATGCTGCCATTGTGTACAGATTTACTTGGGAGTAAGTCACATTGAGCCCCATTGCTTCTAAGAAGCACAAATAGAATTATGCTATGGAAGCTGCATTCTTTTCAACAGGAAAGTGCAGAATTTTGATTTCATCTTGGAATCGGTGGGACTTGAAACCTCTCAGCTTTGTTCAGATTACATCCCATGCCTTCCTCCCCTGAATTAACATCTTCTGCTGTGCAGCCTGGGTTGTGGAGGCCCTCCTGGAGACAGCCAGTTCGGAAACACGCCTTGTTAACTCTGGATGCCTGCGTCCTCCTTTTATTGCTAATCTCACTGTCACCACCCCGCCACTGCCACATGGCCAGGGCAGCGTGTCTAAAATATCCATCCCCACCTGTGCTTGAAAGCCACCTTTTGTAAGCATGGGCCTTCTTCAGAAAATTCCCAGACTCCCCCAAGTGGATAGCCAGGGAATACAACTCTGGAGACAGTGAAAGGAAGAGCCCTCCTGGCAGTCATTATCCATAATGAGGAAAATCCTGACATTCTGGTGGACACTGTCCATCCCCCATTAGCTTCGGAGCACCTTGTTTGGCAAGAATCAGTGCTCACCACTCCCCTTGCGAGCCGATCAGCTCTGCGCTCATTCAGCAGCTTCTCAGGGACAAGACTGGAGAAAAGCCGTCCTTGATGGTTGTTCCCACAAACTTTTTCAAATCAGAAGGATCAACCTTGACCCCAGGGAGCTCACTTATAAAAAAAAAAAATCTACTTTTTGTTGTTCTTCTCTGAAACCGTGCCCCCATCCCTCAGGACTCTCTTTCTGTTGTATTGTGCAATCCTCTGCATATTTATTTGGCAGTATCAGTCCTCTCTCTCTCTCTCTTTCTCTCTCTCTCTCTCTCTCTCTCTCTCTCTCTCTATATATATATATATATATATAGAATCACCAACAGGAAAACCTATTGATCTCAATGGCATTTACTCCCAGGTAAGCATGTGTAAGACGACAGCCTAAAAGTGGGATCCTGGGCATAGCTGCTCTGAAGCAAGTCTGAGCATGTGCAGAGTGGCACTTTGACTCTCACTCATTTACACACAGAGCAATCCTAAGCATGTAGGACTGGAACCGTAGGATGGTTTTCTGCCTAAACCATTCATAGGATAGGGGCTTTGATCAATGTAGAGTATATATTTTAAAAAAAGACTTCTCAAAGGTCTTTTTGAGAAGACCTCAAAGCATGCATAGGGAGCTTGCATGCATAGGAAGACTGAATTTCCATATAGCTGCAGATGGGGGTGGATAATATTCATTTTCTTAGGGTGCAACTGTATGTGTTCGGACAGAAAAGGAGCCCTGCAACTGGAGCATGCTGGGAGTCGTACCTTTTTGGTCTAGACTCGCACAGGACTGTGCCCAGTCAGTAGTGTGTCGAATTAGTATTACTGTAGCTGCCACTCACCAGTTAAGTGATAGTGTAAAATTTTTAAAATGTGTAGAAGATGAAAACCGTTAATGATGTTGGTGATAAGCACCAGGGCGGTGCTAGTCCCCGAAAGAACTGGGGTTCAGGACTACAGGGAATGAACCCCACACTGGCCCAGAGCAGTTTATCTATGCTCTATAAATCTGTGGGTCTCCCCATTGCTACAAAAGGGATGCAATCTCGTTCTGTCTCGGAAGGACCCCCCCCCTATTGCTCGGCAAGGGGAGAAGAGGGCGCCTGAGTGCAGGAGAACAAATCCACAGGCCAGAGGACTCGGCGGCAGAGAGCGAGGTCGCGGAGGCGCAACGCTGCTCCCTCCGCTCCGGGTTTCAAGAGGCGCGCTGGCGCCGCAGCAGCAGCCGTGCCTGCGCCGCAACTTCGCCCTCGCGTCCCGCGCTCCAGCGCCGCGCCGCGCAGCCGGGCGGGCCACGCTCCTCCGCGCAGCTCCGCGCCCAGGCCCGTGCGCCCCCGTGCCTTCGCCCATTAAGCCATCTCCGGGCTGGAGCGAGGGCAGTAAAAGTCTCCGTAAATCCACGGCAGCAGGCGCGGCCCCCAGGCTTTCCGCCGGCTGCTATTGATCCCTTTAAGTGCCTGCTAATGAGACCCGTTTATACCCAGTCAAGTGCGCTCGGCGGGAGGCGGCAAGACGGATGAAGTGCTGGCGAAGAAAGCCCCCCTTCCTCTTCCTCCTCCTCCTCCGGCAGCCCAGCCCAGGGAAGAGGATGGAGCCGCTGTCGTCTTTCAAGGGTTAAGCCGCTCGCGGCCAAAGGAAGGAAGGAAGAAAGGAAGGAAGGAAGGGGCGATGCGGGGGCGGGGCGAGGAAGGCGTCCAGGTTGGGGAGAGGGCGGCCCTATAAAGAGCCGGGAACGGCACCAGCAGACGCGAGGACGTTTTGTCCCCGGAGCTGGCGGGCTGCGGGAGTGAGCCGGAGGCTTGGGGCAGCAGCGGCATGCCTGCCAAAGCCCTTCCCACGCAGGATCGTGGCACCCGGAGGGAAGGGAGGTGCGCGCTCAGCGGCGGCCTCTCCCGCAAGGGGCCCGAAACAAGCGTGACTTTAACGGAGTTCACGGGGACTTGCTCCCGGAAAAGTGTGCATTGGAAGCAACGAGTCGTGCCCCACCTTTCTCCCCCCATTTTTGCTCCGGAGTAGGGGCAGGGCCGTCCTGCAGATCTCCACAGCCCCCACATTAGGTTTCGGATCGAGCCCTGCGCCTATTCGGGAGTAAAAGCTGGCGAGACGGAGCCCACTGGCGGCGACGCCTGCCCTGGTCCTGCCTGCTGGCTGGCACTGCGGCCAAGTTCTCAGGAGTTCCCGGAGTTGATGGTGCTGGTGGTGCCCCGCGGGGGGCGGCAGGCCGTAGCCGAGAGGCCGAACGAAGCCGCGGGGAGGGGAGGGGGAGGACCCAGCTGCCCCTAAGCCCTAAGCTGTCCCCCTGCGCGTCCCCAAAAGCGACTGCTGCGATGTCCATGGAGCCCGCCCAAGGGTGGCGTGGCAGGCGACCGCTGCGTCCTCCAGTGGCCGGCGCCTCTCCGCTCGCGCAGGTAGACACCCCCTGACCAGGGAAGCTCCCTTCCACTCAGGCGACCAACAGCCGCTTGCTGGCAACGGGGGCTCCGTTCTGCCCCTCCCTGCCCCGCCACCGTGTCCGCATGCGAGCGCCCCTGAGGGTGCAACTTCTGCCCCGGGCGGGGACCTGGCAGGAGCGACTCTCACCGCGCTTTTCCCGAGAAAGGGAGAGCCAGGGAGCGAGGCAAGCGGCCGCGGATGTCACACGCAGGGAGAGGGGATTCGCTGCAGCTGATGGGGAGGCTTCCCTCAGCCAGCCAGTCAAGGCAAGAGGCTCGCCTGCCTTGAGAGGGGGAGAGAGAGAGAGAGAGAGAGAGAGACCCCCTTCCCTTCCCTTCCCTTCCCTTCCCTTCCCTTCCCTTCCCTTCCCTTCCCTTCCCTTCCCTTCCCTTCCCTTTTACCTGGTCCGCGGCTGCGGCGGCTGCGGGAGCCCTCTTCGCTCCCACCCCCGCCCGCGACTGCTCTTTTTTGGGGAGGGACCGAGCCCAGAGTGAGGGGGATGATGGGGCTTTCTGGAGGGGGAGGCGAGAAGGCGGCGTGTGACAGATGCACTACCCCTCTGACAGCTCCCAGGCTCTGCCTAGAGAGGCTCCCTGCCATTGGCTCGGTGCGACGGAGCGGCAAGCTCTGCGCGCTATAATAGCGCCGTGCCTGCGAGAGGCGGCAGCTCAGACTCCTTCGGCAACGCTCGAGCGATGCTGAGGCTGCCAAGGCGCCCCCTCCTCCCCCACCTCCTCCTCCTCCTCCTCCTGCTCCAGCCAGCTCTGCGCTGAGAGGGAGCTTGTGGTGCTCCGAGCCATTGCTAAGCGTGCCTGCTGCGGGGTCGCGCTGCGCCCTCCCTCCGGCCGCCCTGCGGAAAGGAAGGACGAGTCGGGCTGCTTCTGCCTCGGTCGTCGCCGTAGTTGGGAGAGCGAGCGCAGCCGGAGGAGAGCAGTACATGCCTGTCCGCGCAGGGCTCGGCTTCCCCCGCCCCTCCGGGTCTCCCCGCTGCCTCGCCAAGCCGAGCCGAGCCTGCCTGCCTGCCTGCCGGCCAGTCCTTCCCACCGGCTCCCCGTGCCTGGCTGATCCGGCGCCCTTGGGGTGCATGGAAGCGGCTGCTGCAGCCCACGAGGCGGCTGCCCCATGGAGTGTTATTACATTGTCATCAGCTCGGCGCACCTCAGCAATGGGCACTTTCGCAACATCAAGGGAGTTTTCCGAGGTCCTCTCAGCAAAAACGGCAACAAAACTCTGGTAAGGCTTTCGCCGGGGCGCATGGGCTTGGATCGTCGCCCTTCCCGCCCTCGCTCCTTTCCTCCCCCGCCCCACTCCCCGCCCGCCCTCGCTCGCTCGCTCGCTCTTAACGCTCCGCTTGCGCCGCTCCGGATTCAGCACCGGCGAGTCCTGGACAGTTCGGAGCGGCGCGCTCTGACGGAGGTCTTCTCTTCCGCTCGCCCATGGCGCCTGCTTGGAGAGGCTGTCCTAGAAGAGGCGCGGCGGAGACGCCGAGTTTGTGCAGAATTTCCCCTCGTTCATCCCCCTCTCCCCACGCCAGGTTTACTCTTGGCTTTCTCCAGACAGGACTGTCCAGTAGATTCCTTCTCTCGTGGCCTGGCTTTTGTTCACCCCAAATGGAATGGGGCACAGAGACGTTCTTGTTATGGATTGGTCAGTTCTGAGTCCTTTGATTCCGGGAAGGCAGAATGTTTAACAAAGAGCAAAGTTATCCGATCCAGGTGAACTCCGGAGGAGGGGTGTTTGCCTTTTTCTCGATCAGGTTCTAGCAATGCTGTTGGTATCAGCTTTGCCTGGTTGGCATTTGAGGGTCTGGCTCTTCAGAGAGGGAGAAGGAAAACAGAGAGAGTCAGAACTAGCAAGCTTCGGACTGGGCAGTTATTCCAGGATGAGGATGGCTTCTAGAGAAGTTCATAGCATCCTGACAGCAGGAAGACTTAAAGAAACTCCTGCACGGGTTCACACATGGAAATGCACTGGGCTCACACATGCCTAAGGCAGCAGTCTTAGATCCTCTCTCTAGGGAGGCGGGCTCTTTGAGTAGACCAGTTGTTCTGTGTGTGCATATGGTGGAGCTGATGCTCAACAGCATGGGATGGCCGCGTTCTGAATGAACTAAGGAGGCATCTACCAAAAGGATGGTTCTGTTTGCCTTTTGGGGAGGAGAGCCCTATTATATTGGGTGTGCGGAGGCATGTTGGACTAGTGTCTCTTCACTTTCTCTTAGACTTGTTAACTAAACCATGCCGGGTTTATCATGCAGTGGCCACACTGTGTCTGATGGTCTGAGTGCATTCTCAAGAATCATGGCTTTTCTCATATGAGATACAGGAAAGCTGTGGACTGTGAATCTCAGAGCGTCTCATCCAAAACATGACATGAGCATCCCTGGGGCAAGATTTGAAAGGATGATGGAAAGAGCACCGCTTTCTTGGCACTATCTCATTCTGAAACTTTTCTATAGCAACAAAGAAATAGGTAGTCGGCATGCAATTCTTTTCCTGGAAGGGACTCCCTCTGTGTTTGCTAAAGATGGCTACCTAGTAAATTCTCCAAGTACAGACATTGAGCAAAGTTTGAGGCATAACCTGAAGGCAGCCCATATGCTAAACAGAAACATGCCCCCTCACTAAGTTTTTAAAAGAAAATCACGATATGGCTTTTGTAGTCTAGCTTTTTCAAAATCTCAGCATTATTCTATTCACTTGAAATCTGTTCATTCCCGATGTAGCAAAACCAAATCAAACCACACTGGAAGAATGGCAGACACAGCGATACCTATAAAACAATAAAAGGAAATGGTACAAACATTTTAGGTTGACTACTGAACTCTTTGAAGAAATGAGGCAAGGAATGTTGATGAATTTGTGATAGGATGTATATGCGGCTCTAACATGGTTGAATCCGTATTGGTTAAACTGTAGCAATTTTTGTTGATTCTCATTATCTAATATCCTGTATTTTTATTACCATAGAAGTAATTCGTTTGCAGATCTGACAGTTCGCTGTACTTTTGCTAACTGGAACCATGATTTGAAATACAGTTACTTAGGACCAAGTCCCCATAACATCAAAGGCGTCTCTAGGATCATGACTCCAAGCATGCTTAAACACACATGCATATAAGTAAATTCAGTACAGTGGAAGCTATTTTGGCTGCAATGTTTCAGAAGTCTGGGAGGAGTTCTACATAACTCCTAATTGAGTGGAGCGTTAGAGCTCGAAGTTGAGGTACTTCTGAAAGAAGCTGCAAAGTTGTTTGGAGAAATAACATATGGCATCTCAAAATGTCATGTAAAATGCTTTCAAAAGATAAATAAATTTTCTTATGTTCACCTAAAATAGATGAATAATCAATATCTCCTTGTTATCCATGATTAGGAGCAATATTTTTATTGTGCAATGTTTAGACACAGAAAAAAAAATCTGCAACTCAGTGTTGTTGGGAGTTGAAGAACTTTTTGGTCTAAAAATGCACATGACTATACCCTTAAGAATGTATACTCATCACATCCTCTGTTAGAAAGGTACTAACAACACCAGTTTAGAGTCTAGGTACACTATTTCCTGCCATGGAATTATTCTGGTAAGTGGCAAAATTGGATTTTGCCTCATATCTAATTTAGTTTCTGTATTTTGGGAGGAGTTTTTCATAAAAATGCTTTATATAATCAAAGTGATACAACAGACTCTGTGAAAAGTAATATAAGGGAAATCTGCTTATAATACAACCTAATGCTCACAAGAATGAAATTCATTTCTTTTTGAAATCAAATGCAAAATCATTTCATAGAACCCATCCACTTGGATGTAAATGTACTTCTTCAACTTAATTTAATGTAGAAAATCTTACCAGGGAGATTTGAGAGTTTTCGTGAAAAGAAATATGCGGTTTGTTTAATTTTACATGTCAGTCTTCTCTACTTACTATGTAATAGCATTATGCATTTTAAAAAGGGAAAAACCAAATACACAGAATGAGAAGAAGGACTGTCACCCAATGAATGGGATCATTTTACTATCACTCACATTTTGGAACAACCCTCCACACAACAAGGCAATGTGAGGAACAATACAGAGAAAATATGTAACCCACAGACAGCTGTACCAAGCTATAAAAACAAGGATCTAACTGTTAAAAGCTGGACACCACTTATGTAAAGGACAATACGAAGAACCCTAGCCCAATCTTCCTGGGAGTAAATTCCACAAATAGGGTGCTGCTCTATAAAAGGCCCTGCTTGTCCTGAGTCCCACAGGCTCACCTCTCTAGGAGGTGGGACTAGTCACATGTCATCATATAAGGAATCCAAACGTTGTGTAGATTCACACAGGGGACGGTGGGCTTTCATTGGCTTTTTCATATATTAAAGAATCAGACTTGTATTCTGTTGTATGTTAATAAACGTAGTTATAAAACTGAAGATACATGGAGGTGTGCCAACAAATCTCCTTTTAGAAAATGCCTCCCCCAGGAGAAGGGGGAAGAATACTTCTTCTAAATCAGTGTCTGACAGCTGCAGTTTTTATGAAGTACTTGTATCAGCAAAAAATACATTTTTAGATGTGCTGCCTTCTTAACTTCAAACAGCTTTTTAACCTGTCCAAAGTTTTTAAAAATGTATTGTACTAACTAAAAGTTACAACCATGGTGAAAACATGTACCTTTTATTTGTAACCAGATTTACTCTGCACTCAAAGCTCAAATGTGGTTCTTGCCAGCAGCCTCTCTGTGTTGTGAAGAAAGCACTGCTTTGTTCAGAGCATGACAGCATTTTCATCCAAAGGGTGTTTATGAAGTCTTGCCAAGCCTTGGCTTTGCCCTGCAGGGATTAAGGTATGCTAGTTCACCAAGGAGTGGCATACATCTATATTTATTTATTATTTTATTTATTCAACTTACATTCTGCTATACTAGTCTGAAGACTCTGTAAGCAGATTACAATATTACATAAAATAACAATATTACCCAGAATAACAATAATAAGAACAACAAACAATGAAACAGAGAAATACACAGCCTAGGTCAGATATCAATCAGTTAAAATCTATTAAATCTAAAAATAGTATAAATGATATACAAATATAAGATCAATTGTTAAAAAGCCTGGAGAAGACTTATACATATGACTAAGGGGGAAAAACCAATCCATACCCATTTGTGATATCGGTAATATATAATTGACTTTAGCATGGCAGATCCATTGAGATTTGCTGTCAGGGGAGCAAAAACACGTCAGAAAACAACAGAAGTGCTAGTTCTTTTTGTGCTAGTTAAAAGAACAATGAAGAATCTGAGAGATTATTAAAGGCCCTCAGTGATTCCAGGGATTCCTTATGAGGTGTAGTCCTCTGTTTGTGCAGTTTTTTCGTTGGCCAACAGGGGCCGCCGCTGAGCAGCTTATCCCCCCCCCCCCCCCCACTTCTTTCTCCTCTTCACTAACTTTGGTGCGTGCGGAGAACTTGAGAATGAGAGCGTTGTGGCCAGAAGGGGCGGGGGGGGGGGGATGTCAGTCCTCACACGAAGGCCCCTCTGGTGGTCTGGGGAGAACAAAATGCAAACATTCCAGTATTCCAGACTTTTTTCCAGCCTTCCAGTGAGGAAAAAGTGGGGATAGTACTGTAGGTCTTTTTGTTTGGAGAAAACAACTCCTGGTATGAGGAGTTTAAAAGTGCAGTTCATGAAAGACAGAAAACCAAGTTAAAGACTCCCTTTGTCTCCATAGCAGGAAAGGGTGATCCCAGACCAGCATCATGGGGTTTATTGCTCTGACCAGGGAGAGGGAGACATTGAGGGGCAGAGTGGCTGAAAGCAGTGCCTGGAAAGAGAACGCTGGGGGAAGATGAATGTGGCTGATGCGAAAAGGAACAGGAAGATTGGCTTTAAATGACAAATATTGTTGTTAAAAAATTAGTAGGGAAAAAGTAAGAAGGTTGAGAAGAGTATAAACTGATGAAAATCCAACAGGGAGATGTGCAGGTCTACTCAGAAAAGAATCCGGCAGTTTCAACATGGCGTACACCCAAGTGCGAATAAGACTGTCACCCAAAGGTGTGTGGATCTGAACATCAACCTGGTTAGTTATTTGTCACCATGAAAATAGCCTCGTTAATGCTGCTGGCATACATAAAGTTACCTGGGAGGAAGCACAGTCTAACCCAATAGGACCCACTTCTGAGTACATGGGTCTAGGGCTGCACTATAAGTATTGATGTAGAACTGGGAAAGACATCCTACT